GGCCACACATACAAAGCATATGTGTCCGGATCCAGAATCCCTGGCAAGGAGTAGTTAAGATTCTTTTTGTATCTTTACATGTTTGTATTATTATTTTGTTCTTTTTGTGTTCTTTGTGCAGAAAGAGAAATCTCACATGCAGATTCCTAACTTCCTCCTGGGGTCCTTGCCTAATGAGAGAGAATCTCATAAAATTTTAGATGTCCCAGCATTCATTGAGACAGCTGCTAAGGATGATGTGAAACCTGAAGACAAAGAAGGAAATGAGAAGTTGAAACCATCACCAGAATCTAACAGAGACCAGGTCAGAACTCTAAGTGCTTTAATTTGTAGGGATGGCTGTAGGGATTTGAAGAACGGGAATTGGTTGATCTGGTTTAACATTAAGATGTTCATATTCCTTTGCATTATTAGTTTTATTGAATAACTTGTGCTCTATGTACTCATTGACCCAGGACCATGCACCTCAGAGTTCTCCTAGTCACAAGTTACTGGTTCCAACCCTCTCAGAGGGTGGGGCAACCAAGCCAGACAGCGATGATCAAGGAGCAGGGTTAAGGGTCAGACGACAAGGTCGCAGACTCCAACCAGGTAATATCTTTTTTTTTTATTATTATTAAGTCTTTCTGGTAAAATGAAACCGTAAGTGCCCCAGGCACTGTAGCTTGAAAGCTTGAAGAAACCTGTAGAGAGGAGACAATGAGAAGTAACAGTTTTAGTGATTATGCTTACTATCCGGTTAGTAAGTGTGACGTCACTTCAGTTTAGCCCATGCCCACTGAACATGCAGTGCACATGCACTGTACATGGAACCATGGCACCGGAAGTTAACGTGCAACTTCAGCGGGTGTCCAATGGGAGCCTGCAAATAGTGGCACGTCCGCCTTTGTGACAAAGTCACGAAACGGATAGTATGGATATAGGGTCTGTGTTTGTATCTAAGGTCCAGTTCGATGCCTATACTGTAATTTCCATTTGGTTTTATTCTATGCAAAGTGTTTAACACTGACAATCAAGAACCCCTGACCTGTGAAATTGTGAATGTGGGTTTTTGTTTTCAGTAGTATGACAATTTGATGACACTGAGTTTATTCTTTAGGGTCAACTTCAAGCACTCCAAGCAGTACTCCTAGCCCAGTGCCACTGTTTCCTAAGACAGTCAAATCTTCCATGGTATCATCAGCTACTAAAGATGTTCAAGATTGGTGGAAGGAACAGCTTCGATATGACAGTGGATCTGAAGAGGACTGAGTAGATCTCATCTGTGAAGGTATTTACCATGGCTTTAACATTTATTTTGTAACTCAACACAAGTACATAGACTGTACCTGTGTGTAGTTTTGTATATAGCATTACATTGTATTAATGCCACTGTTATGTTAAACACTGATGCTACCTTCTTGATTGTCAAAGATTGTCTTAAATCTTCAATTATTTTGAAGTGGAGGAATGGCCACATTAAGACTTAAGACCCCCAAAAGTCTCCAGTTTTTGGTCAGCGCACGTCACTGTAGACCTGTACTTCAACAAAATTCCAACAGTTTTTATTTGGTATTATACGATGTCCAAAAGCTGCCAAACTTGCTTGCCTGGAATCCTGCGCCTGCGTACATTTAACATGTTTGAGATGGGGTATGGTTGAGTACATGTAATATCTACAGTAAGGAGTCTCTTTAGACCCCAATACATTTAGTCAGGCACTCTTTTGCAGATGTCATTTCTGTATTATACATTTTCCTCTGGGAACCAAATGAGATGGTCTTATGTCTTGTGTACATCTACAAGCTGAAATGCATTTAAACAGCAAATAGTGGGGGCCGGTCTATTTCAGTGTTAGTAGCGGCAGTACGTATGTGCTACATGCAGTCATGATGGACATCGTTCATATGCGTACATCATTTCTAGGAAAAAAAAGTGAGGGCAAAAAAAAAAAAATGCGTCACCACACCACTTTGAAGCCAGTCCCTGACCAGAAACCAGAGATGTTTTTTGGCCTAAACAAGATCAGATGTCAGTGTTGAAGCAGCGACTGAGATGATGACTGCCATATATGTTTGTTTTAGTGTACATCCAGTGCAGGAATACGTATACATGTATGTGCAATTCTTGTTTTTTTCTTCTTGGCAGCTGTTTGTTCAAAACATTTCGTGCATTTATAGTGAGAACTCATGTTAAAGTTTTTGAGCATATTACAATTATAAGTATCGTCAGTTCTTTTTAAAATTATTTTTCAAGTGTATAGAAGTTAGTTCTTTAAGTGTATACAAGTATATTGACTATTAATATTTTCAAATGTATCAGTTGTTTTGAAAGCAAAGACAAAAGGTACATTAGTTCTGCATGTATTTGAAAATTTATTTAATTTGCTATTTATTTTTAATGGGAAGAAAATGTGATGGTAATATACATGTGTAAGGATGGGCACTTGTATGGTGAGCAAATTAACATTTTTTTGTCTTGAGGAAACTGGCTGAGTTGTAAGCAACTGTCTGAAAGTTTGTATTGTTACACTTGTGTATAAATTAGTAGAACGTGTATCTGTTGTTATTTTAAGCAAAGTATGGAAAATGAATATCTTCGGGCTTCCGTTTCTTTATGAAGTTTTAAGATGGAAATGGTGAATGTTGTTGCATGAGCTGCAGGAAGTTGTGTTGTGTGAATATGTCAACATACTTTACCTTGATGAACAAAATTTGTAGTACCTTGAATTTAATCAAAATTCTTGTGTATTAATAAGAGAAAGATTTATTCAGAAATGTATGATGTGTTCATCTTTGAAGTATTTCGCACTTTTTAGAGCCATACCTTAATGTTAAAAACTTGAGTAATGATAGTGATAATAAGCAGTAATTGTAAAGTACATAGTACAATGAAGTCTATGTGCTGGGAAGATTGAACAGATAAGTTTTGAGTATATATTTACATTGTTCCAGGATGGGACCGTTTTATGTGATATGAAAGGTTACACCAATGTTAAGGTGCAGAGAATTTACGATTTCATTTATTGCATAAATTGTAAATTGTTATTTAATGTATAAGTAACCTTTTTAAAAATTAACATTAATGTGTTGTCAGTAAATTTTCAAGTTTAGTCTAGCATGAAATTAATGTAATTTATTGTGCTATGACAGCTTCAACTATACGTTTTGATGTCATTTAGTTTTCTGTTCAGACGGCTTGTTGGTATTCTTCGTAATGTTGATGAAAAGATGACATCTTGGGAGTTTTCGCCCTGTAAAGCATAATAAGTCCTTTTAATTTTGGTACAATTTTGCAAATTTGATCACCATTCTGAATTGCGGCCTCTGGTATTCAACTTTATTTTTTAGTTTAGACAAATGAATAGTTCAGTTGGTATAATAGTGTATTAATGTTCACTAAATATGGTCATCACTGTTGCCAAGTAAAACAAGGAAACGTCCTTAAAGTGTAACTTCCTTAAAAGTGTGTTTGGCTGAATTGTTGTACTCACTAAATGAAACTTATCCTTCTTAAAAACATGAGGAAAGGAAAAAGAAAAGATTATACAAGCTTGAAGTTTTGTTAAATCTAATTGATAGTATTTAATATTCAGTGCATTATAATACCACAAACATGTACATTTGGCTTAATTTACTGAATGACACAATCCCAAAACCAATTTTTAAGAAGAGATCTGACTAAAAGAAAACCGGCTTATAAAACCAAAATATTTCTTAATAATACGAAGATAAACCTAAATACATGTACATGTTACTTTGTAACGTCCAAGTTAACTCGCTAGTAAGGTTTATTAACTTTTGTTCAAACAGAAGAGCGTTAACTTAGTAATAAGAGGGTGGTTAACGGTGGTGAATCTTCTTATTTTTAATACAGATCAAAACAGCCGCAAATTTGTTTGAATTTCCTGAAGCAACTGTTCTAGTACTGAGAAGCAGGCTTGCTTCCAGACTGCTGCTTATATTTGTGCATGAAAGCAACAAGAAAAGGATGAAGCTATTTTACCCTAAACATGAATTCTCAAGGTTCACGTCAGGTCTACAGTTTCACTCCTTAAGCACTTATGTCTGCCCCTCACCAAAAATACTGAACTGAAAAAATCTACACAGATGCAGCGATCATATACAAGCACATAAAGATTGCGGAGAATGAACAAATTGCCTTGTCTACAGAGTTGTCACAGTTGTCAAAAGATGTTCCCAGATGGCTGACTAACCTTTAAGATAAATCAAACTATTTTAATGACACCTAAAACTGTACATGTAGATCATGCAGTAGTTAAGGTCACTCAATGCGAGAAATTAGTCCACAGAAATCAGAGGTAATGTGGTTTTACACTTGGCATTTCACAATATCAGCCCCAGATTTTAAAGGAAATTCATCGTGAGTGACAACATATTTGAGGTAATGTGATACCTTTTGTCATCAATTTTGTCCACAATAGCTGTGCAATAGCTATGCTCAATGTAGGTTATACACTCTGTAGACAAGGCCTTATCCACAATTTACACAAGTTTGCTAACCTATGACTATCTTCCAGCCGATAATGCAAGGTTTTGTACAAAATATTCATAAAATGTACACCTTAAATTGTACACCAGACACTTCTCCATAACAATTGCTGTGTAGGACATTCAGAAACACAACACATACAGATCTATAGTAATTACAATTGTGCCCAAAATGTCATCTGCCCCTAGATTAACTCTACACATTCAGTAAAGACAATATCCAATCACTTAACACCAAACAGAAACTAATGAAAATGGCAAATTTGTGTGATTTCATTTTTCTTTTTCTGATGTGTACAACACAGAAAGACGATAAATATTGGTAAAATATTTTAACGCATCACTTTGTTCTGAATAAAAGCATAGGAGTGTGAGAACAATTTCGTAACATGCACATTTAGACTGGTTTCATATCCTATTTAGTTCAATCCTGACATACACACATTATCCCCCTCCCATTCCAAGCCCCACCTCCTCTACCAGGCCCTTCATAATAGCGATGCACATTACATGAAAATCCCTGCATACTGAGGCAGGAAAATCATGCTAACCTGACGTCTATTTCAGTGCTTTAGTTAGCAAAAGTTAACAAATTGTTACAACACCTGATATTAAAGAAAAAAAAGCAACACCATTCACCTAGCGAAGAATTGCATTCAACGCAGCCTGGACATATAACCCTGATGGTCACAACAACTTTATTTTTACTGAATTCACCGTGACATAAATTCAAAACCAAACTTTGAGGACTTGTGTAAAATATTAAACAGTTAAACGGCTGTTTTTGCACAAATTTTCCAAACAAGTACACGTACCGGTATGTATGCATGTGTAGTACTTTCCCCTTATGCACGGCAACCTCAAAGCATTTCACAAAGAACCTTCAGCAAGATTAAACATGAAAATATTACCTTCCAACATACAACTATCCTAAAAGCCAGTGTTTGTGCCTTTTGGATGATGGTCACATTTTCTTTACCTACACACCATAATTAATGTTAAAAAAATATTTTACACTTTTTACTTTACAAATTTCCATGAATACAAACATATTATGCAGAAATGCTTCTTGAATCGGCACAAACAAATGTGCAAAATTCACAACTACATGCACTGTCTATTAAAGTCCACTATTTTTAATATATTAATTTCATACATTCCCAATCCTGCACTCCAAGGTTTCCTGCTCTTTTAAGATATTTTTTGATATCTTTAACATATTTAAAAACATTTCAAATAATTTTCCATCCTTCCTGCTCTGAAGAACTCCAAAAAAGCATTTGACAAAGAATACACCTCATTCCTGTAAACCCTTTCCATGTCAATAAAACTACGTCATTCCAGACTCAAATGATTTTCACTAAAAAACAACAAATACACTCAGATACTGGAAGTGTTTTCATTCTGTCTAAAAACCTATTAAGAAAAACAAATGCCAACAGATTGATTACACAGAAACAAATCTATCCACACATTATTATCAAATGTTTCAATGTTCCCAAAACCATAAAAATTACTACATTTTACACTATCATTATGAATAGATGATCATTGCTGACTCCAACTTCAGCTGAGTACTGCTAATCAAAGACTCAGTGTGAGTTATCATAGCACTCAGTGACTGGGATCAGGTGACTTGAATCAAAGGACTGGTCAGATGACTGCTCCGTGCAGTGAAATCCTCAAACAGGACATATTTTGGCACTTTTTGAAGAAGTAATCTTCACTTTTTGAAAGTCCTTTCCAAAAAAAACGTACATGTATTTTCAAAAATGTAATTTCAGCTTTGCACTGCACTACAGTCTTAATCTTCATCTTAACGTATCAAGACAAACGGTTTAGACAAGAACAAGAGCAAGTTAACAGCTCCACCTTCGATTTCTGATGAAAAAAAAACCTGACACTAAACTGACCTATTCCACAACTGTCTACATGAATCTGTGCACAGAGCAACCATCCTTAAGAAGTCCAGAGTTGTTGCATTAAGTACATACTCAATTCTACACTGTACAGCTTCTTATAGGATATACTTACTAAATATGTACATCAACTACTTGGCATTTTAAAACATGCTTTCCTCAGCTTCAAGAGGTGCAGCTCAATATACAGTCAGACTCTGAAGGTAGTTCAATCAATTCTAGTATTTGAAACTAACAAATTCACTGGATGCAAATAGAAAATTTTAGGATTATCTGCTCTACAGGGGAACAAATGATATCCCCTCCACTCAGATATGTTTAGTCTTACGGTTAATGCCGCCCACAGGCCTTTTCTGGGTGCACATCTTGCACTTTGGTCAAGTTCTTTTCATTTCAAATACTGGCAGATATTGTCCAAAGAGTCTTGTGTAATTTCAATAGCTTTATGAAAACCTCCATGGCCCAAAGAAGGCTTCTATTGTGGGTTTCATGCGAACTCAGGAAATTCTGGAGTATCAACTCCCAGTCAATGGTTGGCCTCTGTAATAGTCATAGGTTTGATGTTCAAGCCTGTATGACATGGGACACATTTGGAGCAGATACCGGCAATGGAAAATATGGCATTCTGGAATCCACGATGTGACTAGGAGATTGGAAAGCTGGGGAACTTGAGGTGAAGGTTGGGCTCTCTGTCGAAAATACTGCTGGGCCACGATTCATGTAACCTAATGACGTAGGCATGGGAATATGCAGGTTTAAGGGGTGACTACCCACTGAGGGACTAGTGGCTGTGTGAGCTGGGAAACCATGAGGTTGGGCGCTTGATTTGGCATCGGTGGTCTGGCTTTGGACCCCTGAACGTGGTGGTAATGTAAGAGGCTGCAGTACAGAGTCTGGTGCCTGAAGATGCATCAGCATGGGAACAAGGTGGCTAGTGGTCTCTGCTGATGAATATTCATTCATGTTCATGCTTGGCTGATGCATATTCATGGTGGAGGCGGAGTCAGAGTTAGATTTCTTCTTACTCTTTTTGTGTTTCTTGTGGTGTGTGAGATTGCTGCCTGCCGAGGAGTTGCTCTGTTTGTTGGAATCAACGATGGGCATGTTAGCAAGTCCATTACTAGCAATCTGAGGGTGCTTCTCCATGTGTTTCTGCAGGTAAACTTCTAAGCTGTAGGTCTTCCCACATACCCCACAGGAGAATCGCTTTTCACGTCGAGTGTTCTCATGAGAAAGCGAGTGATTCTGCAGCTTGTCCAGCTCATCATAGGCCCTGTAGCAGTCTCTGCATTTGTAGGGTTTATCCTTGTTATGTCGCCTCCAATGTTGCTGTAAGTTAGATAACTGACTGAATGCCTTGTCACAACCAGCATCAAAACACTTGTAAGGTTTCATGCCGGTGTGAATGCGTGTATGTTGTTGCAGATGTGACAACTGCTTGAAGGACTTGTCGCAGTAGGTACAATTGTAGGGCTTGTGGTTAGTATGAACCCGTGAGTGCTGACTTAGATATGACGTGGTTGCAAATCCTTTGCCGCATTCTTCACACTTGTAAGGTTTTCCCTCTGTGTGTGATCTTGCATGCAGCAGTACATCGGATTTACTGTAATACACCTGAGGACAGATCTTACAGTGATATTCCTGCCCACCCTGCTCTGCTTCCAAAAATGAACGTGGACTTGTGACTTTCTCTGCTTTATGACTGCTCTTACCTCGTGGTGATGATGTATTACCTGAATGGTTGGGGAGTCCATTGCTGCCGGCAGTGGCTGGTCTGGATGTGGCTTGATTGATAACAGGTGTTGGTTGGACAGTATTCCTGGTATACAAGGGAGCGGCTTGTTGTTGGCTTGTTGATGGTGGCATGGTAACACAGCCTGCTATTTCATGAGCAACGTGGCTTGCAATGGATGCAAATCGAGCACAACACTTGTTACACTCATACCCTGTTGAAGCAAATATAAAAGTTGAACACGTTTCAAACATCTAATAATGTTTCAATCATGTCGCTGCACATTTGGTCTAACAACCTTGATAAGTACTCATAACAATGGACACAATAGGAGAATGTTTTATGGCTACAAATAAAAATGTACAGGTGATTCAATGCCTCTTATTTTAGATGTTATACTGACCACATTTATTTACAAAATACTATTGAGCAAACTTAAAGCAGTTCATAGAAGACACAGGATACATCTACACAGACTGTGCAGCAACATCATGTGCAAAAGAATAATGTTACACTTGTCGTACCATTGGGGGTAATTCACTTGTCTGCAGTTTGGTCAGCAGATGAATTGAGTACCATTCTAAGGTACAAGTTTCCTATCTATACAAACTAAAATCAATGATCTTTGAATAAAGTGCAAATAATGAAGGTCATTACCTGTTGGTGGCTTTGCAGGGGTTAATGGTGGTCTTGGCTCCATGCCAGGAACCTGTGAGGAGAAATGATGATTACGCTAACGTAACATCGTAAAACATGAAAAATGTGTTAAATATATTGACATTAACAAGCAGCTGTCCACGACATCAAACATGAAAATATGAAAATATTGGAAAAATTTATGACTGTAGCAATTCTTTATTCAGTCATTAAAAACAAGATGTGACTGTTTTAGTTTTGATAGGTTGTTATACTTCTTATTGAAGTTAAACTCATTTCATGCATGTGTAAGTAATTTCACATACCTGTAATTGTTCAACCTCTGATTGCCAGAAGGTCACATGACTTGCAGGAGGTGAAAATGGTGGCCTCTGCAGACTCATTTTGCTGTACACACAAAATGTGCTTAGTTAGTGTGGTTACTGGTTACCGGTTACATTCACTGGTATCCTTCCCTCTTCCAGGGGTGCAGTTCTTTTGCCTTTAGAACAGCTTCACGTGGTCATTGAGGGAAAAAATGAAATGACTTTATAGTACACACGTTTCTTACAAGAATCATTGTCTCCAGCTATTTAATGTTAAAAACTTATTCATGTTTCATGAACTCTCCTTTTACATGTAAGTTGCTCACCTAAAAAATCAGGGGAACATCACTTTGCATGGTAAAAGAAAATTCCTCTTTGATGACACAAGTGAGTGAAGTCTGCTGTTGCCAAGATACGAGCATTTAAAAAGTAACAGTCAATCCAGAATCAGTGAAATATCTGAAACAGGTAAACAAACGAGAGGATGATTTACTTTATCAGACCCAAAATAATACTGAATAGAGGTGGGCAGTGGATACTTGATCATGCACCATACCAATTTCCTATTTGGTCCCATGCTGACACTGTCATTATGAGATTATATGATGAGATGGAATTAAAACCTGCGGCAATTTCAGACTTTCTAAATTCCAAAAAATCTCCCAGAGCCCCTAATCCCCCTTGACCATAACCACCCAAAGGTTGCTGGCCCTAACCTTCCCCATTCACACAAACTTACTTTGTGTACAGAGGCTGTTGGACTTTGTTTTTCTGAGGTATGCCAAACCCAATGCAAAAGCCAGCTGTTATGGGCCTACCAGACCTATCCCCACAGAATTAAACACTTTACTACTGTTTAATTCTGTGTGGTGGGGGAAGGTTAGGGTTAAAAAGTGGAAGATCTTGCCATTATACATGTACTTGGAATTGCATTTAAAACATTGACACATGATATTACAACTCTTTAGCAATTTGCCAGCATGGCCAAGCAAGGATTCTATCTTGCAATCTCAATGACAATTCAATAACCATGGGCCACACGCTTACTCATTTCCAATGGGCAAACTAAGCAATTATCTGCTGGTTTAGTGCTGGCTTTTAACAAAAAGTTATGTGTGACTGTATAACAGCAAAATATATGTATAATACTTCAATAATAGGCACTTACTGCACACACGTCAAGCACACAGAAACATTGAAATATTTGTACCCTTTCTTACACATTACACATGAAGGGTAATTTTTCACAAATGAATCAAATGTCATTAAGAAATGCTTGTGGTAAAAGAATCTTCTGTAAACAAGCTAAAATACTATTTACTTACTTATTATTGGTAAGACTCAGGTATACGGACATCACTTTGTTTCCCTTATACTAGTGGTTTATAAGCCATCAGGAAGTAACAACATGTCCTAAAAAGTCAAATTTAGCAGTAAAAATAATAAAACATTTACTGAGAAAACACTTAGTCTTAGAAAATTTTAAACCATTTTCACAGGATTTGTGGACACGGAATTGAGTGATGTCCGTGTACGGACCACTTTCCGTAATATTTTCCATTAACATTGCTGTCATTCAAAACATAGACTAGCCTACATTATGTTTCAAAATGCATGACATGTGGTTGCAGTTTATTCAGTGTTGACCTTTGGCATACCCGTACCTCAGACATGTCAGATATCAAGGGCTAAGCATTGCCAGAGACATGAGCAGGATGAGACTTGACATGCCTGAGAGAAAGCCTAGGTCTATTATTTTACAGTCGACATCACATTTGGTGACAATTTGTTCATTACAGTTAAAGTGACCACGGAAATATTCGCTCACATGATGCATGACAACACGAACTGTATCTGTACGAGAGGCCCGGCCTACGGCACGAGCAATACAAATGAATGCCGTTACATACATGCACTTCTTTTCATGCAAATCCAATTTTCATATTTCAATTTGACGCGTTGATGAAGTATTTTAGGGCAAAATATGGAAAATATAACGCCGTTCACACCCCCCAACACCTCCTTAATAAAACACTGAACATAAAGTACCGTATAAATTGAAAAAATCTCGTAAATTCTGAGCTTTTAGACGCCCATTCTTTCGGGTCTTTTGTGAATACTCACCCGAATCTTCGACTGTCATGGCCGGCTACCTTTTCTATGAACAGCGCCCTCATTCGACTGAATTATAAAATGCCATTGACATCGTAAATCACTACCACATGCGCATATACACACACGCACGGCACATGATGAACGAGTTTTAGAAGTCACGGTTACACAGTCGCTTATTCTGAGATGATAGGTCCAAAAGGTCTTGCAGAAATAATGATACCCTTCACGTGTATAATACCTATCATGTATAATTATTTTACAGTGTATGATTATTTTACAACGTTGTTTACATGCATATAGTTATTATAAATTGGGTCACTGAAGAATAACGCTGCAGTACAGGATTGCTACTACACGTGCGTGTATGTGTTTTATTCTTCCATATGCGTGTACTAATGGAATACCGGGCACATCAAAAATGTTTGTTTAAAATACAAGTCTTCAATGACCACAGTAAAAAGCCTCGAACATGTATTATAACAAACATGCATAAGTGCGAGATGTGTGCAATATAAAAAGGGTATTTTACGGTCAATAATATCAGGGCCCTCCGGCGCGTATATCTGTATCTCATAATTCTATTACAGAGTCAGATCAGCAAAGCATCTACAAAAACTTGAATATCGCAGGTTATTCTACCTCGATGATCACACCAATATTATTACGTTTGCGCATTGTGTGGGTTTGACGTAAATTAAAAACACTCTAATTAACTGAGGAATTTTTTAGCTGCCCCTATAAAGCTTAACATCTTACATCTATATTTATTGTGGTATGTTGTTCCAGTCCTTAGTTGTTCGGGGAAGAAGGTATTATTTAAGACCATGTTGCGCCAGGGTGCGAATTTACGATTGCTTCTTTGAAATGTAAGACCCCTGGATATTCTGGTATTTGGCGTGAGGATATCAGCCTAAATATCGACCAACTTGCCGATGATTGTAACCTGTTGATTTACGTCGTGTCTCAAGAGAAGACCAATCAAGTTCTTTAATTCATTTAGCCTTAACTTTTTTCCCAGGACTGCATGACCTGAAATTATGTTGAGGTAAATGAAACACATACGTTTTCGTACACCCAACATTGCCTCCGGACTAAACAAACGCTTGCTTGCAGACAGCGCACAGGGTGGGACGAGTAGAACGGGTGATTATCAGACTACATTGCCCCTGCCTTATTAAGTTTTTCCCCACTTATTTAAGTTCACCCAAAGAAAGGGGGTTATTTCCCCCATGGGTTAATGAAGCGCGCTTAAAAATAGCTTGCCATGGAACGTGTACAGAACTACAACGCGTAGCACACACGCACCACATTACTCAGTAAATCCCTGTCACTGCACGAACGTAGTGAACAGGTTAGGCTGAAGTTTAGGAGACATCATCAAATTTCTTGTCCGCGGCTGCATGCAGAGGCACGTTTGAGTGGCTTCCAAACAGTGAGAGAAGCAAAGACATGTTCTTCTGTGTTTGGCTAGGAGGTAAATCTTTCTTATTTTCTATCCTGTGTAATATTTGTATTTCAGTTATTTTGCTTTTATTTTAATGGCTGAATCCAGGAGGGGAAACGAGCGGCGGACATGCCCCAGGAACGGGCAAATATTTTTTAGTTATAGGCTTGCAGGCGATCTGAGTTCCATTGCCTTGCCTTCCAAATACAAGTAAAATCCCCCACACTTACCCTGTCTCTTCAGAAATGCTACAACGGGTTACATTACAGAAATCATCCATCTCCTGAAAAACCTTGGTCCCCAAAAAATTGCTTCTGCAGATCTGCCCCCTGATTGCGCCTAAGGTCTATGTCCACTAGCTTAACCCTTCTCCCTGTACAGGTAATTGTGGAGTGACACATGTTTCTCACTTAAAGCAGATGTGTCCTTAACGGGGTAAGGATTGATTCTATACATACATAGATGAAAACTCCGTTTGTTGTCGGCATTTTTCGAGACGTTTTTTTTTAATCGCATTTAAAAATCCACTTCATGCAAATCGAACCCCCAATTTACTGCCAGCGATTAACTATGTATGGAAACTCGTTTGCTGCGTTCCAAGGTATCCATGCATGTTTCACATCTTGAGTCTATCTAAATGGCACGTCCGGAAGTCCTCCACTTATTTTGCAGGTTGCGTGTTGTAAATTGTCGCATAACGGCCGACATCGTTCACTCGATGGCTGTGTACGCTGTAAACAGTTAATACAATTCCAACTCGATGTTGTAATGTACGGCAAGGTATGCTTGAGTTATCCTACCGCACTAACCCCTAATAGTCGAGAACTCTCCCATTCCAAAACAGAAACATAGAAATTAAACATAAAAAAGGTGCATACTTATTACGCAGGTTACGGATGCACCCAGCTTTTTTTCTGAAAAGAAAGGGTTCCAAAACTCTTTCACTCATTCACTTATACTTCAACCTGCGGGGAGTCTGAGGCTCGAAATAATTACCATTGTAGACTGCTTTTGTTTTCAGTCATAAGGCTCAGACACAGTACGGGGTATCCTTCAATGGTGAATGTAAAAGAGCTACAATATCCCACCCGTTGGTCTGTGGCAAGGGAAAGTTAAGACGCATGTGTTTTGTTATCAAGACCACGCTACATTTACACGTAGGTTCAAGTTCCTGAGCACGAGTAAACAAAAAATTGATCAAATGGATTTCGGAATGTAGCAAAGTAGCAGAAGTTCAGTTAAATCAAAGGGCATGCAGAATAAAATTTGAATTGGGAATAAATTTCACTGAAACTTGGCAAGCTTTATCTGAATATGTATGTTCTAGAAACCAAGACTATATGGCATAAATGTAACGACTTCCTTCCAAAATGTTATGTAACATTTGCTTGTACAACTATGGGGTGCAAAAAACCCGAAGTGTATGAGACGCAGATTCGATTGAAGAATTAAAGTTTAAACTATTGGCGAAGCTACCATTTTTTCTTCCTAACACTATTACCAGCAATTTCTGGGTTATTTCAGGAAACAACACATTTCTAGCGAATAACAACTGTATGGTGAGGAACCTGGTACAATATCTCAGGAAGAAATGTGACATCACTGACGAAAAAGGTTAGCTACAAAGATAATTTGTATTGATTGTGTAGTTGCTCAGTATTTCACAAACTGCAGTCTTAACTCCGAATCAAATGTTTACTGGTGGTTGTAATGGAGTGGTGACTTCGATGAACGAGTAATTACTCCAGGAATATAAGCAAACACGCGTTTTGCCTTTATGTCGCTAGTGGTGCTCGACCTTGCCGATGAGGAGGGTAACCTGCAAAACCTGAGTGATTACAATCCCTGCTTCCCAGCTTCCAGACTTCTCCAACCCAAAGTCACATATATCCCCATCCTGATTGAACGTAAGTTGTTACATGTATTCAGCAGGCGACTCTAACAGAATTTGCAGCACGAACCATCAGATTACCAGTTCAAAGTATCGAGTACTTGGTTTGTGGATCTTACTCAATACGCCTGAATGTTCTAAAAACTATTTAATCAAAAATTGATGTGTATCAATTCGTTTATTTCTTTTTACTTCAATTCTATCCAGGTAATGATGACAACACTCTCAAACCATTTACACCAATGGTTAAACGCGTCACGAGAGATCCCGATTTTATGAGTAAGAGCTACTAAAAAAACAATTCATATCAACAAACTGCCAGATAGTTCCGTGAAGCCAAAACAATAAGCTGAGGATGGACGAACAAATTGGCCAACAGAACAGTCCAGACACTATTAATTACAAACTTTATGTTAAAAAGTACAGGTATAAAAATATAGACAGTACAGCAGTACAGAGTACGTGACCAGAAACGTCCTTATTGTCCTTTATAATTTCATCATACTGCATCTCTCACAGAAAATTTAATGGAGCAATATGAACGACGAGAGCATGCAAGGACCGGGGGCCAACGCTCCCGTTTGGAAGCCGTCAAAGAGGGCGATAAAGGTCAAGCTGTGACTTCTAAGGGCGGTGGCAGAGGGTCAACAACAACCCAAAAAAATCCCAAAGGAGGGGTGGGTAGCCGGTCTAAATCAACAAGATAATTAAAATACTGTAGTTGGATGGGTTTGACTGAAAGTGAACTTTATGAAAAAGATGAAACCAATTGGAGGTGTAATGATTTGACTGATTTAAGAACGACCTGCTCCGAATGGACAAGGCAAGTGATTGAGCAGATTCTACCAAGCGGAGTACCGCGCACAGAATAAAAACAGGGAAAGAAAACCAATTTAATTACACTCACATTTACTTGGTGGAGGTACATGTTTTCGTCTACTTATTTATTTCATCTAAGAACACTTTCAGTCACAATTTTTCTTTTCAAATGTGTGACTTTCCCTAAATATTCGGCAAAACAATATCCCCCCCCCAAAAAAAAAATCTGTGGTGGCACAATAAATAATAATGTGCTACACACGACTACTTTCAATTTCAATGGTACAATTACGCAATTCAAAATTATTTTTTTAGTTTGAAAGCGCTCAATTATTTTTGAGTTTTTGAATTGTAAAACCCAGTAAATTTAAACTTGTTTAACAGCAATTATACAAAAAGTGTGGCAGATTTTCATTGACTTTAATTTTGAAGGCAGCACTACTTTCCAGGTTAAAATAAGTTAGGAAATGTTGCCATTATACAAAAACTGAAGAAAATGTACATAGTATCCATCATGTTAGTATCCACTATGAATGTTGTCGATTATCTAATTTTAACAAGAGGAAGCCTGCAGTGTCTAATATCCTCAGTGGCATAGCTAGGATTTTACTAGTAGGGGGGGCACATGGGGGCACCAGCTTTCAGTGGTGTGGTTTTTTGGGGCAAGATTTTGCTAGCCTTGTTCAATATCCATTCATCCGGTTTTTTTAAGTGGGGCCCCAGGGAATTTGTGGGGGGGGGCACTTGCCCTCCTAGGGACCCCTCATGGCTACATCACAGAATATTCTGGATACTCCTTTGAAACTAACAATGGGGTTTTTCAAGTTTAAGCATAAAGCTTTTTGAGAATAAAATACAAACTGTATCATTTAGCGTAATCTTTTCTTGGTTATGTCCTTATCTCACCTATTTCCAAAGAAGAGTTTTTCAGTGTTATCGTACAAATTCTGGGCTAGTTCTTCAATGTCCTCCCCCCTCGCTGCCGCCATAACTTCCAACACCTGTCTGAAAGAGAAATTAATAAACTGAAATAAAAAAATTACCAGTTGGTATAGCATCAACCATAACTTTATAACCCTCAGAGAAAAGACAGTACTTAGCATGACTTACACAATATTGCCTGGTTCGTTCCGACTCTTGACACAAAATCCTTGTTCCCATTTCTCCTTCTTCTTACACTGATATATTGTTTTGATGTACTTGAATCCTGCATGACTTGGTCGTATCTCACACCAAGGGGCATCTATCAAATCCACCAGAAATTCTCACCGTCAGAATTATCTTATATCAAAGAAGCAAGTGGTCAGAAGATTATTTGATATGGAGTCATGGAACAAACTTAAACAGAAATGTTAAAATACAAAGAAAGAAGAACGAAAAACGGGTCAAGAAAACTAAAGGTAAAAATATGGCTTGAAATGAACAGTTAATGCTAGGTTTATGCAAACCTGTTTCAATAAGCAGTCTGTCACTTGGAACTGAACACATGGCTTCAATGTTTGCAACAGTCTTTAAAGAACTGGAGGTGAGAACAGAACAAAACAAGAGGAAATATAAACAGAAATATTGGTCTTGGGGGGTGCGTACAGGTGTATGTATACAACTTGACAATGTGGTTCACTTGTCAAGAAAAATGACTTACCATCCGTTAATTCCCACATGAAGACCCAAATCAAGACAAGCTGACGCTTCTTCTTTTTTACCATCAAATGTATGAACCTGTTTCAAAAAAGAACCATGATCACATCTTCTTATTTTCTGATCATTTAAATGTTGCTAATTAGTGATGTTTTCCTATGTGAAAATAGCATGTTTTCATCTGCTAAGATTTTGAGTAAATGATGTCTCCATTCAAAATTTAATGCACAAATCTCAATAACCATTTTTTCTGACTTTTTCCCATTTTACCATTATCCCTGCTGTTTGAATATGATTCTTACTGTAATTCAAAATATGTCAACTAACATTTCAAAAACACCCCTAGTTTTTTATGCAAAGCTGATTTTGCAGGCAATAGTTTGCAAACTGTAATGTGTAGAAACTCACCACTCCTCCAACAAACTTGTCTCTGTTTCTTTTCAGAATTTCTGTCATAAAATTAAAAAAACTGCTTTACAAACTTTCCATTCAATTGCATTTAAAAACAGGAAACCTGTATGCATCATCAGAAAATGCAATGTTCTACTATTTACCTGCAAAGTCACTGTGTGAATTCCTACAGTGCAAGAAAAGAGGCAATCTGGTCTGTTCTGCAAGATCTAGTTGTTTTTCAAAATACCTGAAAATAAGAAGTAACACAAACAATAACAAATACATGTACCTCATGTTAACCTTTAAATATTAAATGTTGCTTGGTGGTTGTATTTTGTAAAAGAGAAATTTACTTACTTAAGCTGTTGCTCCCTAGGGCAGAAATGAAGCCTGTCATAATCTGGAAGAAAAAGACAAAATTACATCAAGTTGCTTCACATACTAACATTATATTTCTTCAGACTGGGGCATTCTGCAGTCACTTACCCAGTCCACATTCCCCAATGGCTATAACTTTCTCTTTGTTGGTCTGAGCGAGAATAAGTAACTGTTTTGAATATTCATCAGGACCCCCTGCAGCTTCATCAAACTCCTTACATCGTGTTGGATGACATCCCACTGTGCTATACAGTGTATCTGAGAAAAGTAAAAAGTCAAATACAAAACTGGTATATGAATTTGTTAACAAATGCCTTAAATGGAGGAGATGATTATGAAATAAGGATGATTTACTGACGTATTGTTTAGGTCAAACCAGCTTGTTGAATTTTTATTTTATTAAATCATTTTACTTCTCACAATTTAACAAGTTACCATTTGTCTTTGCTAATGTTAAGGCTGATCGACTGTCTTCAAGTGTACCACCTGTGATGAACATCTGAAAAAAAAAAGGATATGTAGTAGTAAATCAACCAGAGATACACCTAAGCCACAAAAACTGTCAACTCCAGTGAATCAGCCGACATGCATAGGCCAATTTCATAGAGCTGCATAAGCACAAAATTTGCATAAGCCCGAGAAACCTTGCTTGATAATCTGGTAACCAGCCAAAACACCATGTGATGTATATTTTATTAGGATCGTATTTAGCTGTCTTTTGGTTAGCATGGCAATCAGACACAGTTTGAGCTAGTAACCTCCTTTTTTTCATGCTTAAGCAAATTTTGTGCTTAAGCAGCTCTATGAAATTGACCCATGGTCTTTTTCACTTACTTTTTTCACTCCTGCATTAAAAGCTCTTTGCAACACATCAAGGAGATCATCTGAAATAAAGTAACAAGCAAAATGCATTTTAGAATGTAACTGTTTACACTAATACTTTATTTCAAACATTCTAATACATCATATTAAAATAAAGAAAATTCAAGAAAAAGTACATCTGATTTCTTACCTTTGTGTTTCTGTGTTCCATTGTAGACACCCCGAAACATAGAATCTGCCATTTTTTTCAGATAAAAATTAAATTTAACAATTCAAATTAACTAATAGAAATTAACCAGTGAATAAGCTGTCAATTTTATATCACATAAATTACATACGTACTCCCCAACAACAATTTCATACATAGTTTGTTCAGAAAAGTAAAGTTAAGATAATCAATGACTTTGATTTTCATTTCAGTCCCTCAAGTTTTATTAATTTCTTAAGGAATGAAATCTAATAGTGGGTGAGTATATACACTTGCATTGGGTTACACAAGATTTAATATGTGTATTTACATGTAAAGTACATCTTTAAAAACTACAGCCACAATGTGCATGATTAAAGTTAGTGAATAAAAAGCTTACAAACTCACCGGTTAAATTCACCCCAATGTCTGTAAGGGAAAACACAGCAAACTTGTCTCAGAATCAATGGTCTAGTAGAGGATGATGTCATTTAAAACAAAAACAAAACTGATGGATGATAGATGAGCCCCACTAAGCAGACAGCTGTTGCCTGTGAGGCTGTGTTGTAGCTTACAGTTCAACCATGCTAACCTTGTTAAAGAACACTGGTACAAAACATGCAACTCCGGTCTAACAGAGTACACCTATTGTGCTCATTCAATACAGCAGTCAGGATAGGCCTAGTGTTATTTAAATTTGGTGTTGGAAGTCTCAACATTTTAATCGCAGGTATTTTCCTTTATCCGACGTTTACATTTATTTATATATATATATATAACTGTAAACAAGGTATACCCAGTGCTTGTCTGAGAGCTTGCTAAAAGAGTCAAAAGTTTACTCGGGCATGTCAGGCGGGACGCGAACCCGGTCTCTTACTTAGTACCCGACGCAAATCACAATCATTCTGTGAAATAATAGCCTCCAGTTTGGAAAAACTTAAAGTAGGCCCTAACCATTATTTGTAAAGTACATTTTTTGTAATTTTCATTCTATTCTTATTAACTCAAATTTACTCTTACCGATAAGTCCAATCTGTTTCACCTTCGCGGAGGCTGCCATCTTGCTTCGGAGATTAGACAGTTAAACTCGTACGCATTTAACATAAAACGTCAAGCATGCACGTCAAGAATTCTGACCCTAAAGATAGACTTGCCACAAGTCTACCCATCTGAGGTGATTTTTTTTCACAAGACTAAACATGGTAGCGCCCTCTTTTCCCTTGTGGCAGTCAGAAATTATTTAGCGCCATATCCTTTGTCCGTTACACTCTCTTCGTTTGTCCGAAAAAACATTGGGCATTCTGTACAAAATTTGTTTAACTACATTGTTATTGGTCAATAGCACTTTGGGGCTGATTTTCTTTTGCACTTACGTATTTGGTAAGAAACCGTCGATGTCCAAAGAAAATTTGATTTCATGATTCGCACAAATTATAGAAAATTGAATTCATTCACAAATCGGAAGCACATGAGATCTGTTCCACACCTTTAGTCGTGTTATTAAATTGAAAGTATGAAAATAGTATTAAGTAGTTTTAAATTGTGAAATGGGAGGAACGTTTGTCTCTCGGTAAGCCTGGACCTTTTCTTTTCACGAGCCGAAGTCAACAGAAATAGAATATATAAAATAATCCTTCTATCCTACTTTGAACCACTCAGCAGCTGTATTAACATACCTTTTGGCGTTGAAGGTTACAGTGTAGTTCAGTGACATCGGTATCAGCTTCATCTTAGAAAAAATAGTACAAAACCGTTGTAAGGTGGAGTGTGTAAAATAATATTTATTATTGCACTGGGCATACACATGTATTAATTGTGCAAAAGATTTTTACTTATCTTTTACAGCGCAAAAACCAACGATTCGTTGGATTCTTTCACCTAAACACTAAACCTGTTCATCTCATCTGTCAATCAAAACTACGTATTTGTTTATTTTCCCAGATTTCCCACACCCAGTCTAATACATGATTAAATTCGAACAAAAGGCCTTAAGTCATTGACCTTGCACGGAAAAACTCCCACAAAACCTGAACCTTCGTGCAGACGTCCAGTCAGAGACAGGTGTCGCAATCGGTGGCGGGAGAAGACTGTTGCACTAGTCTTGACCCAAGACGTCCGCGATCAGTTGTACCCGCTGCAGCGCTGTCGCCTTCCCAATACACTTTTTGAGTAAAGATTTTCCCTCACTGTCAAAATACTGTTACAATGTAAAATGTGCAATCCACAGCCGGTCACTGGCGTCTTGAAACTAAGACTAGTGATGCACACCTGACTGATTCTCAATAATAGTTTACTGTGATGACATTATGACCAAAACCCAACCAGACCGAATCCTGGCGTCACGCAGTGCTCATACGCTACGCAGCGACACAACCACCCTTCCTTAGTACAGAGACAGATGACGAAGGCAGAGAATTTTAAGCGATAGATTTGGTATTTTAGAATCAGGTGAGTAGATAGACTAATGAGTTTAGGTACTCGTTTCATTCACCGATAGTTGGTTTGGTCTTGAGCTGTTTAGCAATTGGGAAAGAATTCGATTGTAGACCATCACAATTTTGAGCGTCATAAACACCAATGACTTTATCGTATTTGTTTTTAAAACTTCTTCTCTCCCTAAATGCTGAACCTCGCACTAAAAATCTCCCTCAAAATTAACAGGCCCCCTTTCAGTGAATTTTCATGACACCCGAAAATTGCGACCGTCCGATACGGAATTCTTCCCAATGTGCTGTTAACGTTTTCAAGTTGAACAACGATTGACGTGCATATGTTGTGTGATACGAGGGCTGTGGCGCTGGGATGCCAGTGTAGTGCACTGCTGAGTTTATGTCGGAGGTGGAGACATCGTTGAAGTTCCTGCTGGGAGTTGTGAATATATCAATTGTTTAAAATCAGTTGAAAGTAACAGAGCAGGTGTTTAATATTAAGCTAAATGCACAATGACACAAGCACTGGGACCATAGTCGCTGACAAATTTCCCACAAGATACTACTATAGCTAGTCTTTGCTAGTGTTCCCAGACGTTACAGTTAGGCCTACAGTATCATGCAAATTACTCCTCAAAAATGAAACAGTTCTCCGTCCAAAATCGTAAAGTTTAATCAGCTTTCAAAAAGCTAACCAGCAGCTTTGTCATAACCACGATAAAATTGATTCATCGGGTGTATTACTAAATCTTTACCACTATATTTTTTCCAGTTTTCCTTCAGACGTCGAGCCTATACGGGATCCCATACCCGACGTCAACCTAATAGCCTTATGTTTTGTTCTCTGCCAAAACAGCACGGAAAAGAAATGCGCTTCTAAATTCTCGGCGGAAAAGAACTGCTACATAGAATTATCCAGTCCCAACTTCAACCTAACTGCCCAGGGGATTGGAACACACTTTGTACGATTAATAATTGGATTTCAGGTCAGGATTCTTTTCAAACTCAAGGTTTAAGGGCTAGTTTGACATTTTTGTTTGACCGTCCCGGTACTGTTGCGTCAAGAATAAAGGAATCCGCTGAACACGCTCTAGAGGTATAGCTTTTGTGTTCAAAGGGAACAAAACGCAGTGAAAACTAGGTGGCAGATATGATAAATGTACTTGCATGTTCGTACAAGATTTATGTTGACCTAATTTTAGGACGACAGTATCTACTTGTACACGCATAATGGTTTGCGGTGTTATAGTCTACAGCGCATTTCGTTCGAACATCTAGGCTGAGACTTTCGGTAAGGGCACCCTTTTTATATTCTATGGTTCTCATTTTCGACCGACCTACTTTGGGCTCCCGATCTCGGAAAAAAAGTCCCCCCCCGCCGACCCTGCTAAAAAGACCTAAACCCAAAATAAAAATCTGTAGGGGAAAAATTGGCCAGCATGACCTTTGAAAACAAAAGCGTTGAAAACTTGCGATTTTGCAAACGACCATACAGCGACGGTCGACGTTCGCGTGAACATTCGGTATTCCACACCTTTCCGTGGCCCACTGAGGTTCGTGCATAACCCTACACTAGCAACATGGATTTTTTTTAAAAGGATTTTCTTTTCGACCGACTGACCTTATCTCAAGTGGTAAAAGAAATGAGAACCATAAAATTTAATAAGGGCGCCCTAATGAATTGGCCTCTCATTATTACCATATTAGCAAATTAAAAGAGCACCGAGACATGAAAGAGCAAGCCATTTCGAATGAGAATGAGATAACAGTGCGTTTTCTCCTCCAAAGGTTGAAAAGACTTTTAAATATTTGAACAAAAATTAACTGCATGCACGGGCATGTATTATAACTTTGGGTAAGAGCAATGACAACATTGCTTCGTCGGTGTCCCACAGATCAATGTCGTGAACTGATTCAAAAGTTCATGGTCGATTGTTCCTATTGTCAATTACAAACTATGACGTATTGTTATTGATCTGCTGGGACCGGTTGCATTCAACACAATTTCGCCATTACTTTTTAGATGGATTTTTGTTTTTATTAAATCAATTTATTGTGACTATTACGTTTGTTTTAATACACAGCCATGACTACCGACATTAAATGATGTTTGGAAAACTTTGCCGTTAACACATGATGAATAAAGCCACATTTTGCTCAAGTAAAGTAATATAGCTGTCCATAATCTATTACTTTTCCTAATCTGACCCAACATAATTAAGCTTCATATACGTTATGTTTTATTCAAATGTATATTTTTGTGAAATTGAACGCACGTGGCTATCTGAGGGACCTTACGTAAAAGTTCTCACTCTCCTACGTGACAGAAAGTGACGTGTATACATTACCATGGTGAAGCATGGTGCTACTCTCAGGTTTGACAATATCCACCTCTCTGTGAAGAATTCCACCATACTCCATGACGTCAGCGGTAAGGCAGAACCTGGCAAACTCCTGGCCCTTCTTGGTCCTAGCGGTAAGACCAAATAAATGCTATTTAACAAATTACATGTCCATTAATAAGAACAAGGGTTCTGACTCAACTTTGAGATTCTGGTCTTTTAAGTTTGTGAATGGAATCATTATAATTGAAATGATGGTGAAAGGTTAAATAAGTTTTCCTCCAATAATGATTATTTGGTGATAAAGGTTCCGGGAAAACTACCCTCCTGCACGTGATATCAGGACGTGTAGTGACTCAAAACTTCGGTACCGTGAGACTGAATGATGCACCCTTAACCAAAGCACAACGGCGCAAAATCGCACTGGTTCTCCAAGATGATATCTTCTTTGCTAACTTGACTCTGAGAGAGACGCTGCTGGTAGGGGAACTTTTTAAAAAGATATTCTTCCCTCAACAAGCCTAAAACATAATGACATCATGCTTTGTTCAGGTGCGTTTTCCTGTGGGGACTCAATGGATCCTACCTCACTGCGAAAGGAAAGTGCACATACAAAAAAGTGTGACGTCAATATGTTACCGGTCTATACTCTTTTACCATTTTCCGATTGGTTTAAAAACATAGGGACTAATGATTTGCAAGAATTAACCCGAACAAAAGTGTAAAAGACCATTTCCTGGTTTAGGTATAATTGTTTTAATTATTTTCATATTTTTTTCTTTAATTTCCACAGTTCACAGCGAGGCTTCGCCTTCCGTCGAGCATGCCTTATAAGGCAAAGATCGAACGCGTAAATGAAATAGTAGACACGTTGGACCTCAACAAATGTCTGGACACAAGTGAGCTATACCCCGTAATATCCCCATACATTCACAGATTTAGAACTTTTGACATGATTTTAAAAGTAACAATTTTCTTTCTTTTGTAATATTAGGAATTGGTGACTATCTCCATCGTGGTGTTTCTGGTGGGGAAAAGAAGCGAGCTAACATCGCCTGTGAGCTGCTCACAGACCCAGCTGTGCTAATTCTTGATGTATGTTTAATAATGACAATCGTAAGGAAGTCTAGGCTGCAAGTCTATCTGTTGAAGGGAGGTTAATCGATCCTAAGAAACCTAAAAATTCGAAAACTCTCTTGTTTCCGCCAAGACAGATCGAACTATAACAGATTCCAGTCTTACTATGTGAGCAAGGACAAAATATGAACATATTTAGACACAAACTAGTCTTAAGGGGGGGGAATCCTCTAGCCGCCTATAAGAGGGCCTGCCTTATGATATGAGTGAAAAATTTGTGACTGTTTTTTAAAACAAATTGCACGTTCAAATTAGGCCTCGCTTAAACAAGCTCTTCGTCCCCCCCCCAAAAAAAAACAACCCAGGAACCAACGTCAGGGCTAGACTCCACAACATCGTTGCAGTTGGTACGAAATCTGAAGACATATGCAGAAAAGACACATAAAACAGTCGTTATGTCAATCCACCAACCTTCCAGTCAGATATTCCACCTGTTTGATCGCCTCATGCTATTGGCTGAGGGACAGGTAAGTGTGACTGTCTTTCACTTTGATTTAAAGACATTTACTTTAATTAATTATAACGAAAAATGCTGCCATGTGCAAACTGATCATTTTGTCGGAAACTTGTACAATGATTCCCTTTCGTTTTAGGTAATTTACTTTGGAGAAGCAAATCAAGCTTTGAACTATTTTGCGAGTTTGGGTCTACATTGTGAGCCTAACTTCAATCCTGCTGATTTTCTGAGTAAGTCTTAAATAGACAAAGGTCAGTATGTCATTTTTGTCCACTGGTTTTAGGTTCTTCCTAAAATCGAGCCCTTATTGTTCAAGACTACGGGTACACCCTGATGCGTGGTTCACAAATACCGACTCAAGATAAATCCGTCTCTAAACATTTCAGTGGATAAAGCAAAAGGCAACGAAGACGAGATGTCCATTCTCTTTGAAGCTGCAAAACAGAAGTCATGGAGTGTAGTAAGGCTGACGTCACGAGGCTCACAAACTCCTGATTGGAGAAGACCTCCTCAATCGGACCAATCGCAATTGGATCATAATGACACACCACTGGACGAATATTACCACATTGGAATAAGACACCACCATTCCGTTCCACCGACTCAGCGCATCAGGTATTCTTGTTACAACCGTGTACATTTTGACAACCTTAAACTGTAAAGTAAATCAAACGATGCATACTTGAAACTTTGAAGACGACTGTGAGTTCAGGAATTTAAAAACAGTTTCGTTGGCATTTCTTTGATATTTCAGACCTGTACGTCATTCAAGCCCTAATTTTTCACAAATAACGACTTCAACCGGAAAATCCATCAGCTTTTCCCGTTTGCCGTCGATAAATGCCCCCAGACCTTTGAGTCCTAAAAGTCTTAATCAGAGTCCTTCACCTGAGCACTCGTCAACAAGACGTCCCAGGGCAACGAGTCAGGTGTCATCTAGCTCTGACGTGGGCCGCAGAGAGCGGAGAAATACGGTAGTAACAATCTCAGGAGTATTTGGTGGCTATCACAGTGGTGTCATGTCAGAGTTGTCATTTCCAGACTCGCATCGGCCACCAAGATTTCGCCTAAAACCACTTCGGTCTAGAAGGGTCAGCACATCTTCAAGAAACGAGGAATCAGATGCTTCACCAAAATGGCCAACTACATTCTTCGATCAACTCCACACCTTGACTCAGCGCAACTTCAAACAGTCACGTGATATCTTCCTCTCTAAGTTTCTCATTGTTAAGAATGTCTTGTTGGCTGTGGTTGTTGGTTTGCTTTGGTTTCAGATGAGCCATGATGAGGTGAGGATCAACGATATCCGAGGTTATGTAAGTCTTTTATATTTTTCTGTTTGGGGGAGAGCAAGCTTATAGTTTCAAATAATGTAACTGTTCTAAAAACTTCGAGAAATAATTATTGAGAAAAGCCTCAGGGGGCGGGCTTACGATTACACAGAGAATTTAATGCTCCCATATATTATCAGCCCAGTCAATTTTACCACTTCTGAACAAATGGACAAATAGTTCCAAAACTGAGTTCTAATCAATTTCATTCCCGTGCTAAAACCTCTACAAGTGAGTTCCACTTAAATCCGAGACAGTAACTTGTTTTACGTATACCCGCATGAGTCTCCCCGCGTTCACTCTTGTGGCGCTTGCCAGCATGATGAATGCTGAGTACCTGTGCCGCACACAAACACGCTGTATCTTGCCTGAGCTAAGACCATGACAGCCAGATCGAAGCGCCGAATCATTTATGGCATTAATCATTGTTGTCGTATAATATACTTGTCTTTTTTCCTATAGTTCTTTTTTGGTTTGGTCTACTGGGGCTTTGAATCAATGTTCCTGGTAATGAATGCCTGTAAGTACACTAAAGCTATTATTTACGTAATACAGAACCAAACTCATTCTTTACATAATTTGGCACCAAATACAAACTTATGAAAGGTAATCAAATCACAAGTCCTTTGAAATTTCTGAAGGAAATTCCATGGCATTTGTCTTACAGGATACAATGAGTGGATCTTTGTAATTTCTCACAATTTAATCGTTGCATTCTTTTCAGTTCCTGCAGAACGAACTGTAGTGAATAAGGAGCGTTTATCAGGAGCGTATCGTTTGTCTGCATACTATCTGGCTAAGATGCTGAGTGAGTTACCACTGACTCTCATCATGCCAAGTATCTACTTCATCATCACTTACTGGATGGCAGGTCTTAATGCTAATCCTCAAGCGTTCATTGCTTCATGGTGTGCCATGCTGGTCAACGTTTTGGTTGGTGAGGTTGGTATTGAGGTTCCAACATTCTGTCATTATGAAAGTGGAGTACAGAAAAGCATAGGATTGAATGAATTTAATTAATATCTAAACGGCTGTCAACTCGGCAGCGCAATTATTCCAGTACCTCATAGTGCTTTGGTCAAATTAACTGTTTTGAATTCTCTCCTATCATACGATAGTCGATCGGGTTGGCCATTAGTGCATATGCACCGTCCATCCAAGAGGCAGTGGTCATCGTATCGGTGTATATGCTGACTACTCTCATACTAGGAGGTTTCTACATTGAGCAACTACCACCATGGTTGGAGTGGACGAGTTATCTGTCGTACACGTTTTACTTCTTTACACTTCAGATGCAATTCGAGTTTGGCTTGAACGGAGAGCCACTCAAGTGAGGAAACTTAAATTTGCCTCGAAATATAACAAGTCCAGTATAGATAAGACTTAAAGCTATGCATGGTGGGAGTACTGATTTAGGTTAGGCTTGCGGTTGAATCATGTAGTCGTCAAGAGGGTGAAGACCAACAGAGCTCTATACTGTTTGGAACGTCGAGTGTTCACCATCGGTTCTTCTCAGAACCACACTCATAAAAGAGGTATTTTCTTGTACATGGTGCAACTGCAAGCCTAACCTAATTTAGGTCCGGTATAAAAATTGAAATAGTTTGTCACAAAAGACAAGAATGTATTACATCCTTTATTACAAACATCCTGCACAATTCATTTTTTAAACGTTGAATGTCCTTTCATAACTTACCTTTTGTGTGGTAAGAGTCCGACCTAAGACTTACCTGTCTGGTTAACTTTGTGTATGATAACAATGAGGTAACTACTGGAAATAAGAGGCAGCTTGAAGGGAACTTTGTATGATATCCGAAAGTTGGGGGAATGTTCAAGTAATGTCACTTTGTTAGTGATGACATTCTTTCATTAATTTTGTTATTATGACAGATGCCGAGAGGTAAACAGTGTTTTTGAAGCTTGTCATCAAAGTCCCAACGTGACATATGTAGACAGCGTCGAGGTACTAGACCAAATCAAACTGCTTCCATTGTCGTTGGCGTCGATTTGTGGAATAGTAGTGGGGTTCTTCGTGTTCTTCCGATTGTTAGGATACATCATTCTTCGCTTTATTCGAACGCCTGTTTAAAGTTTACAAATGATAGAAACTTAATTAATTTATTAGTCAATCATGCCTCCTGACCCACTTGCTTTTGTGATGCGGTCGATTCACAATGGTGTTCCTCCAAGAGTTTGCAACGCACTGGCTGATCACAATGCGCGAAATCTGCCAACCATTTCCAAACGCACATTAAGGCCGTTTTCCAATACTCATCAATTCGTCTCCGTCTGAGGCTAAGTTCCCAAAACCAATCCCCGACTGTGGGCCTGGAGCGTTTAAATTACATTGGATTACTGTAATGGCTTTCTTGCATCTTATTTGATGTTCTGTGGCACTATTTGACTGATTACTGCGCTTTCAGCTTCAATGCCAGCTAGTAAAAAAAAAAGTTGAAGCCTCATACGGAGCCGAAGTTGAGTTTTGGAAAACGGGCTAAGTCGACAGATTTCGTGCATTATGATTGGCCAGTGCGTTGTAAACTCTTGGAGGCGCACTGTTATGAAATGCCTGTATTGGAAAGAATTCTTGACTCACTCGAGGTTGTCAGGTTGAATGATTTCTTGATCATTTTCAGCCTCTTCTGAGACAAGCCCCTTTCCCTCGGATTTCAGAATCGGAATGCTGAAGTCTTATTGCATGCTTCAGGGGGTCTTATCTCAAGCTTATGAATGTCCCTCAGTTTCGAATTCAGACCAGCAAGATAGTGGGTCTAATAATCTACTCGTGCTGAACAGAATAACAATTTGTATGCCTTGAAAATTGCGACTTTTGAAAAGAGAAAGGAACTCTTGTTTTTAATGCTCTATTTCTAGTGGGCCGCAAACACTTAGGGTTTTTGTTTTTTGGAAAAAGAGATGGCATTTTATAGGTTGATCATCTTAAATTGAAAATTTCTCTCAAAAGCAATTATATGTTGATTATACAACTGCCACAAACGAAACAATTTGACTCGTCTCACCAAAGAAAGACCTGGGTTCTGTTGCAGATTTACCTTTGTCTGCAAAGCTGCACGCCATCACGCACTCTTCTGCCCGGTTACTAACACGAAATTTTCAACATGACCAGTTCTTGATCCTACGGATTAGCATTGTTTAACAAATAGAAAGCCTCTGTTGGCACACACAACTGTGCCAATAAAAGTTGACCTTAAAAAATAATTCGGGATAGAAATCATATTATGAATGCGTTACTGCTCCCTTAAGGACTACTTCTGAAATGTGTGTAAATTTATTGTCCACAAATGTCTTCCTAGTAGTCAAGGTATATCATTTAAAAAGAGAAATTTCACAATATCTGCTACGAACAAAATAGGGAAATTTGTTACAAATTCTATTTGCACAGAGCTGTTAAATTATTCAAGTTGAATTGTTCACAATAAAAAACAGACATTTTCTTTTAATTTTGCTGACAGACGTTGAATTTAAATTTTGTAACTGGACAAAACAAAAATGTTCAAGAAATTCACAAAAAGGAAGCAATAAAACAATTATTTTTCATGTTGTTTAATCATAGCAAGTTAATTCTGCATTAATCTTTGTAACTTGGGTACATTACCCTGCTATATTACATTATATAACTGATTAATACTTCAAGTTATTAAAAACTTATAATGAAGGATGAAATATGTAACTGAAGACATCCCAAACTAGATGCTAAATTTTATTCCCAAACTGTTGTCTACATGTTTAAAAAGAATCATGTCCCACGTTCAGGGAATTCACCAAAATATCAGTGTTATGGATCTTAGTTTGGTCTTGGCTGGTAACCTGACCTGGTTATGCAACTGCAACCATGCCTCAACTGGTACTCGTAACAAAAATATTTCAACATGATGATCTGGTGTAAGAACTACGTGTGCAACATGAATTTTATTTGAGCGAATGTGCAATCCTTATAGTTCGCATTACTTTTTGGCGAGACTAATACACTGACTGCAACACAAACTGTAGCCTCATACATGTAAAAGACAACCTTTCTTGGTTCTGCATACACATTTTAATCAATTACATAACTAAACTAACTATATAGTGTAAGTTACAAGTGCTTTAACAGTTAAGTTTACTCCCAAATCTCAGGTAACACGTCACTAAGCAAGAATGAAAGGTAAAGTTCCTTCATTATTGCTTGCGTGACAGTACAAATCCTGTGGACTAAAGTCTGAGATCTCCTGCATGTCTGTCTTGTTTATTCCTACATGTCTTCAAAAATGCTTTAAGTTAACCAAATAAAAAAACCTATACATCATTTTTTTACATTTTTTTTTTACAACTAGAATGATCTTGGACTGGATGCAGGAAAAACACATTAGGATTTTAAACCACTACAAATACAAAGGCACAGGTCATTGTTCTGATCAATGCTTAAGTGATTGTAAGAGTAAATGGAGCCTTCATCAACTGTATACATGCTTGAACACCTAAGAATGACAACCTGGAAAAAAAGATGAACTGCTTTTACTAATAGAAAGGGCGAACTATTCATTGACGTGAACTTTTTTTAATAACTTTTTTTATAATTATACTATGGTATCAGGACATAAAATTTTCCCTCTATATTTTGGTTTGAGTGACTGCATTCACATTTTTGAGATGAGCCTACGACTACTATCCTCCTTGCCTCGTTGAGCAAGAATTTTAAAGTTTTAAGAGCTAAACAAAAACTTGACGCAAGAAGAGGATCACATCTACATGTATACCCTACCACCCCCTGTCAAAACCAAACTAAAAATTGACTATGTGTATTACCAATGCAACAAAGACCATGATACTAGCAGAGGAAGCCAAACATATAACCGGTGTAGGTATCAGGTGATTAGCGAACACTGAAATGCAGCCTCAGTATAAATGCAGTAGCAATTAGGCTGCATTTGACTGTTTTTGATGCAAAGGATCTCTTAAAAACCAATTCTCTTCACAAATATGTCCAGAAAGTTGCCTTAAATTGACATTTTTGTCTTATTACTACAATGCTGAAAACCAAAAGTTCCAGGATGACATGTTTAGGTTCTTCTGCAACACGGCACATACATGTACAAAAATACAGTTACTGAACAAATTATTATCAAGGGATTTATGAAAAACCATTGACAAAGTCTGGAAATTTATACACACTTTCACACAGTCATCACAAATCTTATCCCTTCCCATGGTTTTAGTCATGGACGCAAGTAAAAGACACAAGCCCTCGAAAGAACTAGCATTTTATGCCAAATCTCAATGGAGGGGAGAGTACCGAAGCATGACGTCATTTGAACCACAAAGTATAGTAACAAATGGATTAAGTTCCAATGCTGGTTTACTCATTGATTCTGATGCTTATGCCTTTAACACACATAACTGTACCTGACGTATTCGCTTCAGTATTCTATGGCATGCCTGTGACTTCACGCTTCTAAGAACTTTAAACAGGTATTTTAACAAGACCCTAACAAACATTCAGACCACTTCCTTTATGCACACTGAAAATATGCCACACAGATGCAGTGTACCAGTGAAATAATAACGTTCCCTGTTCCTAACACGTTCATAACAGGTCTAATTATCACCCAATGGGGAATGTTACTTACAACCAAGCTGTATAAAGGATAAAACGTGTGAACAGTGTTTTCAAATACCCAATCACTGTGTATTGGCCAACATTCCCCATGCAAAAGCCATTTTCTTGCAACACTTTTGTTGTTACTGGTACAATTTGCATAAAGCAGACATAAGAAGGCTTTCCTCTAGTGCCTCACAAACCTTTCCTGTGTGGGTACAAAAACCAATAACAGATCGGATGACAGACGCCTAGAGAAGGGAACATTTCTTCTTCTTGGGTGGTTCAGGGGGCTCCAAAGCTGCCAAAATGGCCTCGTCAAAGACATTCTTTAGTCCTTTCTATAAAGCACAAGCCAATACAAAAATATTAAGATCTGGATGGAACAGTCACCTGAAACGCTTTCTCATACCAAAATAAAATACAGAAAATCCTCTTTAATCAAGGCAATTAGATACGGCTTGTTCAATGGATTCAAAAGTGTCAAGGTGAAAGTGACAACATTATGCAATGTTTCTCCAACACTACCTCAGTGTGAGAGGCTTGTCCTTCCATATTTGCCATATTCTAATCTAACCATACCATTGGCAGGATTCCTTCAAATTGAAATTGTCATACACAAAACTCTACTACACTCTTGACCATCTGTCATACTTAAGGGATCATCTCGTCATTCAGAATGGTCAGAAAGTTTCATTCAGAATGCCTTGTTCTCATTCTGGAACAGACAGCTGTTCCATTGAAATACTGCCTTAGCATACTCGATGCACAAAGTGGACCGTTCCTGCTGATATATGAACATGCCAATGGAATGGTACCATTTCAGAGGGAAAGAGGGAACAGTCCAATGCGACGCAAACATTCCTGACTTTTGAGACGTTCCCTAAACAGATTGAACTGTGAGTACTGACCTGTGTAAGGGCGGAGCATTCCACAAACTTAACAGCTTTCAGTTCTCTGGCCAGTTTCTCTCCCTGTTCAACAGTGATTGGTTTCTGTTTGTTCTTACTCAACTTCTCAATAGTTGATGAGTCATCACGAAGATCGATCTGTGTACCAACTAGCAAGTAGGGTGTCTTAGGACAATGATGTGTGATTTCTGGCGCCCACTGTGTACGAATGAAATGGTCCATTAAAACAAAAAATCAAATGAATACAATTATCAATTTTGTAGATCATATACCTGAGTGAGGCAGCTAAGAAAACCAGCTTGAAGTTGGAATGGCAGATGCAACTTTTACTAACAGCCTTTGCATGATTAAATATGCTTAGTTTTTCCACTCCATGTATGATAAGCCAAGCCTCCAAGGAATCACATGCTTAGCAGTTTACATTATTACAGAACACATAAAAAATGGCACATTGAGAGCAAAAGTAATCCAGAAAAAGGAACATATTTTGTCACCCTAACTTTACAGCGACTGAGATTGCAGTGTTCTGAATGTAAGACATACATGAGGTGAATTAGGACTGACCTTCTCTTTGACATTTTCGAATGAGGATGGTGAGACGACAGAAAAACAAACAAGGAAGACATCTGTCTGTGGGTAGCTAAGAGGTCTCAGTCGATCGTAATCTTCTTGCCCTGTATCAAAAAAGAAACACACATTTAAAAAGTGCCTCTTACTTTGTAACATTTAAATATTTGTTTGTGTTTGCAAATTCCATTAAATTTGATTCACGAAGATAAAATGAATTGGAAAAGAGTACATGTAAAGGTCAGGCTATAGCATTTTATAACTTCTTGCAAATAAACAATATGTGAAGATAAGCTTGTATCAGCAAGTCAATTAACATTGCTGGGTACATAAATACAAGACATACATTACACGGGCAGTCTTTGAACAGAGACTATTCACAGAGTGATGGAGGAAGTTTAATTAGTCATATGCAAATGGAATTTTTAAAAGAATGCTTATTAGTGTGGGGCTAAATTATGTGAACAATTTATGTGTAAGGCTAGGAGAAAATCATCATTAAGCAATGTACATGTACACAAGAATTAACTGAACTTCACTATCAGAGGCACATCAATATACACTGCATATTTATATACACATGTACATGTACATATACATTTCTACTACAGATATTCGCATTGAACACATGAAGTTACTCTTTCTTGTTTGATGCATTAACAGTGTTTCAACATGCAGGTCAAAGAGGTGGTGTAACACGGGTATGATCCTGGTCATTTTATTCATATAGGTTTATTCATTCTAAAGTCTGATTACTTCTTAGCCTGTGGGTTTGGTTACAGACACAGGATGTCAGTTCACTATGATGGCATCAGGAAGGAAATTGACAGTCTGAGGACAAGCAAGGTTGCACTGGTCTCTGAAACACAGCATAGGCTCCGATCAACAGTAACTGTACCGCATGCATAATTTCATGTCAATCAGCAAAACTGCTGCACACTGTGCTGCACATGCAACTGAATATGTACATGTAGGTTCTTCTTTGAAATGACATGAACAATGAACACAAAGAATTTTCCTCAATGGAAAAATTCCAGGCATTAAATAGGTAATGTATTTGGAATTGTGACATTTCTGTTTGTTTGGAATGCAACGATGTACATGTCCTGAGCACAATATCATAAATGTAAATAAGTTGTCGCCTTGTACATGTATACTAAGGAAACTTGGAAATTTCTTTTCTTGAGAGATTATCGCAGCAGTATAAATTGTTGCAGGAGATTTACTTAGAATTCTGTTCAGTTTTAGTTTCTGTCTAAGTGTGCATCACGCTTCCTGATTTTCACTTTTGCCAAATGTTATCTACCTTATACTGTAGAAAACCAAACAAACCAGCTGATATCCGGATAGCACAGTGCACTATGTAATTGATATTTCCTGCTTTCTGGCATACCAAATCCTGGCACATCAAATGCAGAGAAGTTATTGCTTCCAAATTTAAAAGGTAAATGAATTGATTAAATGATAAACAGTTTTTGAATCACTTAATTGACTTAAGATATGTCTAAAAAAATTAGGCCTAATTGCAATTCAAACATGAACTTTCAGATACAGCTAATATAGACAACGACTTTGAGGGTGTAAGTTGCTAAAAGTGTTATAAGTACTTTAGCATTGACACTGCAGTGTGTTAGCAGGTGTTATGGGGGCCAAGTATATACATGTATATTACACTGATGAATCACGATACAATCATCTAATTGTTGGGCAGCTGCTGAACTTCCTCGGCTTAGCTACACCCAGCTTAGCGTCATCCAATTTAACATACCAAGCCCTTCTGGCTTCAATCAAACTAAACTATAGGACATGGACAACCCTACAAATACAGTGAACTTGAAGGTAAATAGTCCAGAAAATTTAATGTCAAATGTACCTGCTGTGTCAAACAACCCTAGAGTGTATGGTTCACCTCCTATCATAACTGTCACAGCATAGTTGTCAAACACCTGATTGATAAAACAAAACACACATTAGATCTCACGACATAAAATACAAGTTTTTTGTTTTCCCAACGCAACACTTTTTACAGAACAGAAAGGGAGACAGACAACAATTGAACATGACAATGGTTGAAAGAAATATGTGGGACAGGAAGCACTGTAGTTCATATATATCATCAGAAGTATGCACATCTTGTACAACTGTGACTGAGTGATGCACTTATCTATGTATATTCTTTCAAAGGAAATGCTTGGGTGATTGTCAAAACCCCAAATTCATTGACCATGGGGCGTTAGACTAGTGCTTATCACTTTAATAACAGACAGCTTTTCAATCACATAAACCCAAGCTATCAAATGTCTAATTCCTTTTCTATTTTCTCCACAATCTCTGTCTTGATGTAGATATATATATGCAATCTCAAAGTGTGCAAACTTTTCCTTCTGGTAGATCAAAGATCTTGAAGTCTACTTGGAACATTTCCATAAAACAAAGCAACTTTTTGGGTTTCCCATCCTTTTCTAGCAGGTACTCAAATCAAATAACCTTCACCCACTTGAACAAAAATGCCACTATCTTCCGCAAAATCTCAATAAATAGGAAAAAAGTTTTGAAATCTTACCGTTGGTACATATTCAGAAGGGAACTTATTTGTTGTGTAGGAAATCAACAAGCATGTTTTCCCAACAGCCCCGTCACCGACTACAACACATTTGATCGTCTGCATGGTGTATGTTATGCTGCTTCTACAGCATCAATTTGAGCCAACCTGAAAAAACGAGAGAAATACATGCTACTCTACAAATGTTTTAAAATTGGAAGATACTCAGAACACACAAGTGTAGGAGCACGATCAGTGACACTGATCATGTGACCAAACTATGGTCACACAATGTGTACGATCAACGAGCCACAGTGGAATGAATTTGTACATTTTGCCAACAACTTTTAAAATTTTGGTTACAAACCTGTACCAAAGCAAACATAAGTAAATCTTGGCCCCAGACTAGTCTTGGGTCAGTCAACTGGACTACCTACATGTATGTATCTTTAGCCCTACAGTTCTACGCCCAAATCCCCTAAGACCAGTGGTGCAAGAAACCTTTTCCTTTAAAAAAAAAAGAAGCTTCCAGTGAAACCAGTATTTCTCATACAACTTACGTAACCTCAGCTGGACATTAATTTGCCATTCTGGCAATTACCCAGATGTTCTTGTATGTGAAATCTTAGGTTTTTATTTTCTCATCTTGATACTGCCAACTGCCATTCATTACTACACCAATTTGCTCCTGATTGCTTATCACTAAAATATCAATGTGCAGGTGTACTTGGATGCCAACTTGTACATACTGAGGAAACAGTCAGCATACTCCCAGAATTGTGAGGAATTTCTCGTGTGCCTCACAGTTCCAGATTTTTATTGCTTTGGGATTCTGAATGTGCCCGTTTATTGTCTACAACTGCACTTTCATAATCAAATCTTCTCCCAAAAGCCATCCACACTAATATCTGCTCATTAACATGCGATCATGATGGTGGTTTTTGACTGTGTACAAGCTCTTTTTGGCAAAATTCAGAGCTTTTTCTTACTATCCTTATCTCTTATTACATGTTGATGTACATATATATACACTGTACCATTTGGAGTGGGGGAGTGTGGCAGAGCACATGCTACACGCAAAACTGTGTGTGTGGGAGCATGGAAATGTTTTTTGGAAGTACGCTGTTGTGAAACTGTCGCACTAATCTTTGATTTCAATGCATCTATAGATCTCTCTTAGTGGACACCATCTTTGTAGGAAAACTACAACTGCATATATAATGCAAACAGGCGCCATACTCCCCCGACTTGAAATGGTCAAGCTGATATCGGATTTAGTGCACTGATCACCATTAGTGTCATTACAAAGACTGTGTGGTTCCCTGCACAAAGACTCTTTGACGTCTCTTGATAGAATCTTGATAAGAAAAGTCAGAATTATCAAGTTTGGCATCCAGGCTGTTATATTGAATGTTGGTTAAGTTGCCCTCGTTTTGTGAAGTGTGTGTGACGGATCACACTAATGGCGACAGTACATGTATGTGTCCACATCGATATGTAACAAGAGGATGGTAAGAAAAAACTCTGAATTTGCCAAAAATAGCTCGTACACAGAGATTGCCTCACAATCCTGGGAGTATAGCGACTGTTTCCTCAGTCATGTCAGTGGTGCAGTATCCAGCAGCCATGACAAGCAGACTAGAGTAAACTGAGTTGTATGACACTTGATGTTTCGCCATTCAGGAAATAGTCATTGGCATACCCGTGCACACTCTCAGACTTATGAATGGTGCACTCGGCCAGCTAATGTGACGTTGTCAATATTCTCCCTGCATTTGAGCAACAGTAGGAGTTTCCAATTTAAACATGAAATTTCTCTTCTTCCCAATTGTAAGTACATGAAGTAGGCCTGAGGCTAAACCACTACTAGCACTAGACTAAATCTAAGTGGTTTAGACATGTGACAAATCCCAGGCCAATCCAACCAGCAGCTGTTGGGTTCAGGCTGGTGGGTGGAGGCACGAGACGAGGCCAGAACATGCATGGGTGGCGCAGCTGCGGCAGTAAGCAGGAAGGGCTAAGACATGTAACTTGAACATGCAAAAGAGTAGGAAGAGTACTTTTGTCAAAACTTCAGTCACAACAAATTCGCAACAAACACAAAGCAAATTTTAACATGTTTAAGCATCGATAAAATATAGTGCTAGTTACAAACGTAATCAACAACTAACAGCCCAAAAGTGTTATGCCTACAGTAAGTAATGTCAGTAGGACAATAGCTGCAAAAAAGTAACAACACTGAAGGCCCGGAAATGAAATAATGATCCTCTATGTCGGAAACACACGGTCTACTCCTTATTATTAGGATGAGGCAGTGCAGTCGCCGCGTAAATAAACGATCCCATAACTTACCTTGCAAACGACAAAATAACACTTATCAGAAAACAATCTGCCTCAGCTTTTGCTTTAAATAATGATCCACATCTCCCAATTATAGAACATTCAGAAGACAGAATACGTCATCAAAATTTAAAGACTAAAACGTTCGTTTTAAGATTCTCTAAGTCTATTTTGGGCGTTGGTGAACTTACCACTTCTGCCGGGTTTCCGCCTATTGAGTCAGGGTTTGAGATTAGCGATGTGCGCATGTAATTACGCATTAAAATTTTAGGCTGATGTAATTACCTCGACATAACAAGAGGGCGCTGTTCGTATTGTGATACTATTTTTAGATTCACGTACAAAAGGCCGCGGCTAAAAGTTACTTTTAGCGTTTACAAATAAGTTGATAGAGCGAGGTGAAACTGCAACTTGAACTGCAAAAATCCTGGATTCGATAAAAACTGTTTCCAAATATCCCTTTATCTCCACACAACCCCCATGGATGGAATGCTTATCCACTTGACGCCAGGATTGCTCTACTTTCTTGCTTTTAATTAATTGGTGCAAGAAGCTATGCTGCGGAAAGGCGGTCACACAAAGTTAATGAGACGGCATCAAACCTGTCCAGATCCAGGCCTTGAAGATAACAGCTTTGTTACCTTCGTCGAGTGGGGACAGGGGGTATAGGTCTTTCCAGGATGATGGTGGGGGGCACTCGAAAGAAGCCGACCGACGGTTGCTCAATTCTCTTCTGAGGCTTTTTATTATTGCATAGTGGATATTGTCTTCTAGTCCCTTGTCACAAACGGAGTAAAAACCGCTGACTTTGATCCGTCTTTTTATGATATCACTCAATCCCCCCGCCTCCTTGATTCATCCATTAGTCAAAATGTGCAGTCATATTCGGACACATATTTCGGTGCTTGGGAATCTACTAGTTTTCAGGATAAAATTATCCCTCTTGAATTTTATTTAAAATTTTGGCAGAAATGTGATTTATGGTACATGTACACCATTAAAAAAAAGTTAAGTCCTGTGTTAAAACAGCTGCATATGCTATAGCAGCAGGTCTGGCGCAGGTCAGTGGAAGGGGCGGGGACCAGCCGGGGCGAAATGTGATTTTCTCTTTTTCGCCAGACGGGGGCGCTACAAAGAACTAACGGTTATCGATCCTAGCCGCGCGACCAAGCTAGCTAGATGCATTTGAAAGTTGTTGACATCAGTGAGTGACATTTTGTATTGAACATGTTGACGAGCTGGGGCGCTAAGAAATGAAATGTGCGTTTGTTGTTTTACATTAATTTCAGAAAGTGATTTGGCTAGTATGTGCAAGTAGCTGGCATCGCAAGATGTGAGCTTTGTTTGTTGCCATAGGGTTTAGGGGGCCTATTTTTGTGTACAGGACCGCGAAGACGGTTTATCTAGCTGTCTTAAGTCACGATAGGTACGCTGCCACACGTGTATCGATCCATGATGATCAATGATTCATCCAATTATAGATACACCAGCAGTACAAAGGCATTACTTCACAACGTTTCTTTCGACAGTTAATCAGCTGTCCATGTCAAAGTAAATCATGTCGCGACCAACAGCTGTCAATGGTATTTTGACGGTAAGTTTTTGAAACAAATGTTAGACAATTTAAGAGTAGGTCTTGGTTAGACTTTGTTCAGTGTTGTCATGGTTGTTAGACAATTAAATTTAAGAGTAGGTCTTACTCTTGGTTAGACCATGGAGGAAGGAGGGCCTCCTTCCTCGATGGTTAGACTTTGACTCAGAGTTTGAGCCTGCTGCATGCAGTGGTGAGTGCAGGATGCAGTGTCGAACCGTGGCTGTCAGCGACTGCAGCATGCCTTGTGTGTTCGAGCCTCATGTAATTAACATGTTTAAGGAGTAACAATAACATGCTGAGAAAAAGTTCAATGAAAGAGGAAAAATTATGCTGCTACGCCCCAACTAGATAGTCTGTTGCAAATATAGTTGGGACAGTCCCAACTGCAGCTCTGCAGTTAGGACTGCTGGCCCAAATATTTTAACCAATGCCTATAGAAAATTTCTCAACCTTATTAAAGTTTTCGCATCTTACAATTGACCTAATTCATCTGAAATGCGGCACTTCCATCTATGACATGACATTGTAAACAATATGAATTTGGCATGTGCTGGGCACATGCAAAGGACCTCTGTGCGATAGTCATATCATTGTTGGGATGGTCCCAACTTTAGTCATGATAGTTGGGACTGCTGTATACTTGGGGCGTAACAATGCCCGGCATGTACTCTAGACCATGAGCCTGTAATTGTTGATGCTGCATGGGTGATTTTGCACAATGGTAGAAAGGCATTGTGGGAAGGAAAAGGGGGCAATGTTTGCTCCTTTCCACAATGTCTTTCTACCATTGTGCAAAATCACTTATGCACTATTAGTAATAAGGCTGATGGAGGAAGGAATAGTGTAGACATCATTAGTATGATCACACGTCACATGCACCCCCCAGCATCATTGCTCGGCACCATTGCTTGGCACCATAGAATCACATGTAAGTAACTTGGTCGGACTCTGCGAGTTGCCTTTTTAAATATTTGGACTTGGTTGGGTTACCATAGCTCGACTATGTCCAACTTTTTACAAAGGCAGTTCGTAGAGTCTACGTTACTAGGACTAGCTATGGCGGGGCTGGTGCCAGCAATTCCCTCAGATTTCTACCGGGTACTTAAAACCCCCAAAACCAGGCAGAAGAATTAGACCAAGAAAGCCTGGCAGTTCACACTCATCAAATGTACTAGCTAGTTCCATTGCTACAAATTGCAACACAGACCAACTAAAAACTCTTTCTTCAATACATCAATTATTGACTGGAACCACCTCGACAACGTCTTTGTTCAAGTGGACTCGGTTGGGAAGTTTAAAAACCTCCTTGGTCACAGGCCTCACTCTACATGGCAAAATCGAAGTACACATACCCTCTCTCTCTGTTGCATCAAAGCCAGAATTGGTGTCTGCAATGTAAAGATACAGTACAGATGACAAATGTTCTCATGGCATACATGGGCACTGACATCACGCGTGAATGCCATGAATATGAACTGACATGATTGATGACATGATTTCAGTGCCAGGAAGAATATGCAGAAAGAAGAGCTTAAATGATTGACCTTGATCAGGTTAATTCATAAAGGGTGAAATGGATAATTCATCTTAATGACCTTGTGTTGTGTTGACTTTTTTGGGGGAAAACAGCTGCCACTTCCTTACGTACAGCTTGCACATACATCTACATGTATTTTTCATAGTTTTTAATCTTTTTATTTATTTTCCCTGGACCTTTTAGAACAAGAATGAACTTGATGAGATAAATCGAAGACTAAAGCAGAATGGTATAGATCCACGGATTGGTGACCAGGCCAAGCTTCAGGAATTATGGCATCTGTTTGCACGAACTGAAGCTGATCTTCTGACCTCAAAGCAAGCATTGAGTGGAGCTGAGAGGCAACATGCTGTGGAAATGCAGGAGGTGGGTCAAAGAAATCACAGGATTCCAGTCAGTTTTTATCTCTCTTTTATTCACGGAACAGTAAAGTCTGTTCCATGCCATAACCCTGCCAGACGCAGCACATTGCAATAAGTGAAAAAGTCTGATACGCTTCAATGCACTTATCAATCAGCAGTGCTCAGCTGAACAAATTGGCCATGTTGAGACAATGGGAGCTAGTCCCATTGAACATGCCACTGTTGGATCTTGTGGTGACTGGCTACCACAGCCTCCCAGGCTGTTTGGCCTTGGGAAAAATTGACCTCATAGGGAGGGTTAGGGTTGATGTTCTCTGTCAGGGGACCCAAGATGTAAGAAGTGCTTTGTAGAATGCCAGTACATTGTAGACTCTCAACTCTATATTAAAAACACAATGCAAGGAAAATAAACACAACAATATTGAGAATGGTGTTCTTTCTTAGAAAGCTCATCTACAGTATTTGTTAAAAGTCTGGGTTACAGCTGGGTGTGACTTTCAAGTTTTCTTTAAATTTTTATCTGATTTCCACACTTAGTTTTTTTCCAAGAGAATCTATATTGAGTATGAAGGAATGGATGGTACATGTCACTTAAAATGACTGATGGAACCTTGTGTTTAAGTGATAAATGTGCCCCTAATAATCCTAACTGTGCAAGGGTTGCTGGACCTAACCTTCCCCATTCACACAAAGTTAAACACCCATATGGGACTTTGTGCACAGAGGCTGTTGGACTTTGTTTTTCTGAGGTGTGCCAAACCCAATGCAAAAACCAACTGTCTTGGCCTACCAGACCTACAAGTACATGTACATGTATCCCCACAGAATTAAACACTTTACTACTGTTTAATTCTGTGTGGTTGGAGAAGGTTAGGGTTAACTGGGCTGGCTTTGTCTGTGCACTTTTCCTGCCTTTATACATCTACATGTAGGTCTACAGCCTTCATTGTCTCGTAATTGTCTTTCTTTACAAAATTAACTATTTTAAGTGTTAGTTTCTGAGCTTGATGAATTTTATTGACTTGAGGATTAAACTGTATGTAAATATACTACATGTACAGGTATGTAAGTACAATGTACACAATGTTGTCTCCACCTACTGCATACCACTCACCTTGGGAGACATGTGTGTGACCTAAATCTGACCTCTCTGTGGAGGTGATTGTAAATTACATCTTGTTGTCTGAACACCTTAACAACCACTCCTGTGTACACACTGTATCCTAGAGGTTATGCCCCTTCTGAAATATTTGGTTGGTGGCATTTGTTTCAGTTGTGAAGTGTGTTTAATGGTAAAATCTTACAGTGCAGTGTTAACACAGGTATTAATATGTTGTCAACAGATGCATTGGACTTGGGAACTTTATGAAAAATGTAACAACTCTCAATAAAAATTTTAATATTTCATTCAGTGCGAAGATGCTGTTTGATACATGGATAGGGATAATTTATGATAGCTGATCAGTGTCTTTTTTCCCCAATGTAGGTTGAGAGTTACATGGAACAGGTGCGGCATTTGTCAGAGGAACGAGATGCATTGACTCAAGAATTTGAGATGGAGAATGATCAACTGAAGAAAGATGTAGAGAAACTCAGACAAGAGATTGCTGATGGCAAAAGAGAAGTGACTCAGTTGCTGATTCAGGTAGAGTAAAATTTATCTGTGTATAGGTGCCTGCACGTGTATGGAAAATGACTGAACTTCCCTCAATTTGAAAATGTTGTTAATCGTGTTATACTAACAAATATTTATTGTAAGAAGATTTACAACTGTTTTGCATATTGTGACACCTGTCTTCTCTTTGGGAAGGCTTTGGGCTCAACTAAATGTTCAAGTCCATTTGTCTTTGCTATAATTTATATTCTTGTTTGTTTAGTGAAATTTCCTAAAATGGTATTGGGATATTGCTTTTAATGTAAAATGAACTTATTCTGTGATTTCTGCTTGCACCTGTTGTGTGGATTTAGGAAGGATTTATGGATCTTGCTGATGGCACGCCAAGTGAAGCTATTGCTTATTTTCTCGTGGAAAGGACAAGAACAATGGATGAACTTAGAGAAGCCAAACGGAAAGCAGCTAGCAGTCCTGGTGGAGCTATCACAACAAGCAAACAGGTTAGTTTTTATTGGTGATGTGGAATTGGAACCAATTTACACAAATCCGTTTTGAAGGCTACTGTTCCCCAGTAGTATTTTCAGACCAAAACTTGTTTCCTCTGGGGCATAAGTAATAATGCATTATTTGAAACTATTAATTGCCATGATTGTGCAGCATCACAAAATTAACCTACACAAAGTGGACAAAAAGTGGAC